ACCAACTTCGTGGCTATAGTTTAGGGGAGAGATATACATAATCAATCGAACCCAATCGAACAATTGTTCTCATTACGTACTGCAGTACTCTCATAACTTCAAGTGAACCTATTGGCTTGTAGTGTATGACCTTTGTCATACCAACATGGGGAAAGGAGTTGTTTAGTTGACCATCGGTGAGGTTTTCCCCTTGGAGGATTAGAGGCTAGTCATAATGAGATTGACAAATTCGAAATTTGGATACTTCTCAATATTTCCTATTACAAATGTGGCGGTGAAATATTTCCCAAGAAATGAGATTGGGTGTTAAAAATGTGTGGCTATGCTGTTTTTCAAATTATTATCGTTAATTATTATTAATTCATTTTATTGACCTGCCTGAGTCTGTGACTATGTAGGATACGCAGGTCCTCTCTTCCTACAGGCCAACGATACCTATACCAGTAGCATATCCCCTCCTATGCCTCCCATGCAGCTCCCCTCAAACAGTACCGCCCCTCACAAGTCCTCATTCGATCATACACTTAGAGGAGTCCTTAGCCCTTCATTATCTCCCCTCTCCAGCCAACGAAACAACAGATATTTGCGGGTGTATGGCAGCCGGGAAAATTCGCAAAAACCACGGCGTGCAGAGCTCTCCTAATACTGACATTAGGACTAAATCCGAAGACATAGTGATCCTTCTGATGCGTTCGAAGAGGCCGGCCAGCTGGGCGCTGCAGACTTGCGGATACCTCGGAGAATTCACTCTCTGCCTTTCTAGCCTCCTTCCAACTCCTTCCCGAAGGTCGTGCTAAAATGTCAGAAAAGTCTTGACAGAGCGTGATTGCTGTATGGTAGCTTAGCCTAGCTTCTTTTGTACCGTCCAGGGCGCGGGGGAGTGCCGTTGACTAAGCTGCTGTTTTTCAAAGGAGGTGGCGGGCGGGAAGAGTTGCGTTGTAAAGTTTGTGGTCGAGAGGCTAAAATGTGTGGGTACATTACCTGTCAAAATCAACGGCTTGAATCAAGAGTACAGTCAAATCCCTGTTCATATAACGTAATCAGGGCCGTGAAAAATATCGTCAGACAGAGAATATCGTTGCTCCACAGAAATCCACTTTTTTTGGCGGCATTTGTAGCACCAATCTAGCAAAAAACCCTGGTTGAGACGATATTGAGAGGTTGAAGAACGATAATCGTATGATCGGAAAATGTATGGGAACGAAGTCCGTTCTGGAAACATATCGTCTTAACGAGAATCGTCTTAGCAGAGGTCTGGCTGTACACCCTTGTTTTAATGATTACAGCCGGCAAAGACGAATTCTTCACCATCCAGTGGTGCCGGTGTAATCGCTCAGTATGCTCTGCATATCTGGGATAGCCAAGAAGAATCGCATCCGAATCGAAGTCGAGAGCAAACACATGCATATCTCCATTTGACGACTTCTCAATCATGCAGCACTCAACATCATCTTCTGAGTCCTCAACCCTGATCTAACCACATATCAACTCGCCTCGCCGACCGATAAAGGCGTCACCCCAATTGCAAACAGGAGCTTGCCTCTTTTATTACCGGCCATCACTCTCTACATATTTACGACGCTATTTATACCCGCAAGGAGGAAATCAAGTCGAAAAATACAAAGTTGGGGTCTTGGTTTATGAGGGACTGCTGCTCTAATGGGGTTATACATCTTGAGGAAGAACAAGCGGCTGAGATGTGGAGCGATAGGGGAAGGAAGTCATCGAAGATCATGCTGGGACTGACACTTTCGAGGAGTTTTCAACTTTGGATTGTTGGTGGGCGCCAAGACTAAGATTTCGGCTAAGTAGCCAGGAGGGCTTCTTTTGTCGATGAGTCAACGGCACTCCCCAGCGCCCTGGACGGCACAAAAGAAGTTGGGCTAAGCTACCACACAGCAATCACGCTCTGTCAAGACTTTTCTGACATTTTAGCACGACCTTCGGGAAGGAGTTGGAAGGAGGCTAGAAAGGCAGAGAGTGAATTCTCCGAGGTATCCGCAAGTCTGCAGCGCCCAGCTGGCCGGCCTCTTCGAACGCATCAGAAGGATCACTATGTCTTCGGATTTAGTCCTAATGTCAGTATTAGGAGAGCTCTGCACGCCGTGGTTTTTGCGAATTTTCCCGGCTGCCATACACCCGCAAATATCTGTTGTTTCGTTGGCTGGAGAGGGGAGATAATGAAGGGCTAAGGACTCCTCTAAGTGTATGATCGAATGAGGACTTGTGAGGGGCGGTACTGTTTGAGGGGAGCTGCATGGGAGGCATAGGAGGGGATATGCTACTGGTATAGGTATCGTTGGCCTGTAGGAAGAGAGGACCTGCATATCCTACATATCCTACATAGTCATAGACTCAGACAGGACAATAAAATGAATCAAAAAAACCCCCCACCGACAGAAGGGCATTTTCATTTATTTTAATTGTCTTTCTTAGTATGAGATTATACAGAGCATTGATGTCCACAATAACTACAACTCAATCATACCTGTGCAAGTAGTAAATCCCCTCCTTGATGACTGTATGGTAAACCGTCCAGGCCGTATCCCACGTAAACTCAGAGGAATTGGAGCTGCTAGCTCTTTTGGGATAGAAGAAAGCCGGTTGGATCCAGCAATTTTCACACAACACATTCTGTCGTGGCGATAATATATTCTTTGGTTGCTGAAAGCACGCTTGGAAAACCATATGGTTCTCATGCTCTTAATTACGTAGATTTTGACGGAAGAGGTTACACACAGTAAGGGATGACTTTGAGTAGCATCTACAAATGAAATCTGAGTGTGAGTGTTCGAAACGTGAAATTGAGTCAACCTGCATAAAGCAAATTTCATCCGAAAAAACCTGAATAGATTCTTATTTCGTAAAATTAGGATAAATTAGAATTAACTATTCCCCCCTTCCAGTTTTATGGCTCGCATCGTTGGAAAAGCTGTGAGCAAATGGCCCCACCTGAGGCCAGGGAAATAATAGGGGAGAAGGGATGGCAGAAGATTATCCACCCCTAATTACAAGCAGATGTTACAGTCTACCGAAGAATGAACAGGGTGTAATGTGGCCATGCTGAGATTGTTCCTGACTCGAGAGGAGATGTGTTTGGAAGATAAGGAGGCAGCGCAGGGCACCTTTATTTTTTATTTTATTTTTTTGCGCCTGCGTAGGGAACCGTAACTCAGACATTTACTGTATTTTTTTACTTCTTTTCTTTTGTCGCTTCTGGCTTTATTATTATTATTAATTCATTTTATTGTCCTGTCTGAGTCTGTGACTATGTAAGATACGCAGGTCCTCTCTGCCTACAGGCCAAGGATACCTATACCAGTAGTATATCCCCTCCTATGCCTCCCATACAGCTCCCCTCAAACAGTACCACCCCTCACAAGTCCTCATTTGATCATACACTAAGAGGAGCCCTTAACCCTTCATCATCTCCCCTCTCCAGCCAACGAAACGATGGCCATTTGCGGGTGTTTGGCAGCCGGGAAAATTCGCAAAAACCACGGCGTGCGGAGCTCTCCTAATACTGACATTAGGACTAAATCCGAAGACATAGTGATCCTTCTAATGCGTTCGAAAAGGCCGGCCAGCTGGGCGCTGCAGACTTACGGGTACCTCGGGAAATTCACTCTCTGCCTTTCTAGCCTCCTTTCGCCTTTTTCCCGAAGGTCGGGCTAAAATATCTATCGATTCTTGACAAAGTGTGTTTGAAGTATGGTAGCTCAGCTCGATATTTTTATGTCGACCAAGGAACCGGGTTTGCCTAGACTCATGGACGATAAAAGTCCACCTAGCTAATTAATCAAAATCATAGTCTTGGCGACCACGAGCACCCTAGAGTCGGAAACCCCTCGAAATATCTCAGTCCCAATATGTATGCTCATCTCTCTTTCGTTCTACGTTCCAAATGCCTGTTTACTCAAGTTGTAGAGCCCTACCAGAGAAATAGTCTGGCATGAACTAAGACCCAAATTTGTAGATTTGAACTTGATTTCATCCCTGCTGGTAAACGTAGCGTGGTACTTTTTTAGTGAAAAGAAATTGGTGATTAATGTAACAAGCATCCGTTTGCGATTGGGGCAGCTCTTTGACCGGTCGAAGAGGCGAGGTAGTAGGTGGCAAGATTGAGTTAAAGAGTTCAGGTGAGGATAGAATAAGATTTTCATTCCTACTGAGTTTTTGGCTGTAGGGAATTTTTAAGGGCTATCTTAGATCTAAATGATCTCTATCTGTCTTTAGATTTGTTAACAGGTCTATTTTGGGATAAACACTGAGGGCCTTCCCTCAAAACTCGCGTGAGAATGATAGAGCCAGTACTCATGAAAGATCGTCGATTATAGATAGTCCTTTGATTTCTTTCGAGTTGGATACTGACATGAATCCCTATTGCTATGTCAGCTATACTGACAAAACTGGGTATCTGCAGCGGCACAGCTGGATATGATTGGATAGGTTGACGGGGTTCTGTAGCGCTTAATCCGTAGCCACTCTAGCGAGAGCTAGTCAGGCTTGATAAGGCTCCTTGAAGAAATAAATGGCTCGTGCCCATCTCTGAAACTCACAAGGCCAAAGTAGGCCGAAAGTGAAACAGGGCGGATAGAGAAAAGTAAGGGATCATGAACGACTGCAGTGTACACCTTCCCTGGCTCTTAATAAAATTAGCGACGAAGGCGAGCACACAAGAATTTCAAAACAGGAGATGTTAAATATGAGAGGATAGGATTAGGTCTTGGAATTGAAGAATTCTCTTGTAAGAGTGAATAGTGTGTAATGTAATATAAATGAATGCATAATCCCGTCATGACCCGAAACACCAGCTAGACCCATTATCCCAATTTTAACCCGTGGCCAACGAGCGGGAACTATTGCGCACGTGAATTACTACCCCATGAACCGTTCAAGGTTTTTGATATTGGGTTATATTTATATAGACAACATTGAAGGCGAGCGCGACGATTTCCAAGCACCCGGAATCCTGCGAAGTGAAGAGGATGGGCCAGCCCTTATGAAACTCCTCCTGGCTTGACTGTTATTCCGACGCCGGAACCACCGCCTCCAGTGCCAAGATCGATTATCGGACCTTTGTTGAGAGCAGCATCGGCGTAGTTTAGAGCAGCGGTGAAGCCAGCCATATCACGCTTCTCAGCGCGTTTTTCTGTTACCTCTGCGTTAGTCTAACGCTTGGCGCGCCGATAGGCGCGTATGGGAAAGACTGTGGAATCACTTACCTTCAGCTTTTGCCTTCTTGGTAGCCTTCTCGCCGCCTGCCTTTTTTACAGTGTCGTCAAGACCGTCGACTTTCGCACCGGCTTTACCCTCGCCAGCCGCCGCTACGCCTGTGGTCCCTGAGCCTTGCAGTGTGTTGAAAATTCCCGCTGCTGAGGCTTCGCCTTCGGCTCCGCCAAATGAAATCTCACCATCACCGACTACCAGTGCCGGCGAATAAGCACCGAGATTTATGTTGAGCGGCGCGGCAATGGCGACGGTGGCTAAAAAGGCAAGTACAAGATATCTAGCAAACATTTCGAATATTGGTCTGTCTACGGACGTGTGGTGTGAGAGGAGGTGCGTGTGGAGAAGGTGTGAAGAATGACGCGACCCGTGAGCACAAGGTTCAGGAAGTAAAGATCGACGTTACTTTGCTGTCAAAAATGATTGTGAGGATTGAAATGAATGTTGAGACTTGTAAACCGAACTGACTGGACATCTGGGACGGGCACACGCTTTATACCAGTGCACTGTTACGTCTTTCGCTTCAGCCTTTGCTCGGGTGGTGGTAGATGAGCGGGTGTTGCAGGTGGCTTACAGAGTCATCCGAAACCTTCGTGATCCTGACCACCCGGCCTTAGTGAAATTTGCCTACTCGGGACGGAAAGTGCGAGGGGGTCCTGGGGCCCGGTCCAAACACTCAGCTTCTGCGCCTCGACGACGACACGAGCATAGAAGGATGGGAAAAAGCGAGTGTGATCTGACCAGCGAAATCACGTCAATCGGAGGACTGCCCACGGAGCTGGGCCTCTGCGAACTTAATGGCGACGTCTGCCACTCTGTCAGCTTGTCGAGAGTCATGCAGCGTTTGGCGGTAGCATGCGCGCTCCGTCTTGAGCGCGCCTGAATCGGACGGGCTTCATGCAGCTGCGTTGAGGGTCTCACGGCCATGCTAAAATATGGTCGTGTCAGGACGAGGCCTGAATAATTTGCTGGCTCGCTCCCGAGGTTTCTGATTTACGTGCGGTGGCATGGCCAGGCACCTAGTCCAGTTGGGGCCAGAGCGTGGCCCGTCCAATACCTTGGCGATCAGGGACCGATCATCGTGGGTCTCCTAGCCACTCAAGAATCGCGTATGATCTGCAGATGTGGAAAGCGCCAGACAAGCCAGGTCTCCAGCGCCATGAAGCTGGCTCCATTGGCCAGGGCAAGATAAGGCCACCTGGCGTTTATACCTGAAACGCTAGCTCCCGCGTCCCGTCCTTCACGCGTTGTTTTCTCAGGCACGTGATCAAGCACCTACCAGCGCAAAGGCCTACGACTGAGGGGCCAACGGAAATAACACCTCACAACACGCGCCGCCGCCAACTGTGTCCCCAAAGCCCTTGCATCTTTACCAGCTGTACCTATGCAGAAAAGAACGTGGCCCTTGCGGATTCCAAACAGCCCCTTAATGTGCTGCCTTGCCGTCTGCCTTGCTGCCAACCTACATACCTAAAATACCTTGGGGTCCTATGAAACCCGGCTACAGTGTATGGTGCTACGCAGCCCAAAAAGCCTGGAGCACGCGGCCCCGTCACCCACCATCCCAATCTTGTTTCTCCGCTACTGTCCGGTATTCATCTAGACCATGGTGGGATACCTAGCCGCCTTGCCAATCATCTACATTTTCATCTACTGGCCCCTCCAGCAGACGCTATATGGCACGGCGCCGCCGACGCATGATTCGTGGGCGCGCTTCTTGAATTCCACGTTGATAACAACCGACGAACCGCTCTCATGCCCAACAGTGCAATACACTACGCATATCCTCAGCCACGAACCACTTGTCATCTATATTGAGAAATTTCTTGCGCCGCCCGAGACAGCTCATTTGCTAGAAGTCAGGTTGGTCACCAAAGTCTCTCTTGCGTGCAGCCAACTCGTAATCCGCGACTAACCTCAAGCTACATCAACAGTAAAGCAAATTACGAACCTGCTACAGTAGCCAACGGCCCCGAAATTTCCGTCCAGACACAGATTCGGGCCTCAGAAGTTGCCCTTCTCGATCGGGATGAGACGGTGAGGTGTCTAGAGCACCGAGCCCGAGCGTTTCAGGGCTGGCGGTCGGACGTCTTCATCGAACGACTGCGAACACAGCGATACGGGCACGGCGGGCACTACGTGCATCATTATGATTGGAGTGGTACCTATCATGAGGCAGACCGTCTGAGCACTTTTATGGTCTATGTCGACGCGCAGTGTGAGGGCGGCGGAACTGAGTTTCCGCGACTTTTAATGCCTGCCGAGAAGGGTCGCTGGTGTGAATTCATAGAATGCCATGGAGGCGAACGAGGTGTTACTTTTAAACCTATTCGGGGGAATGCCATCTTTTGGGTCAATCTGAGATCCGACGGGTCGGGCTACGAAGAGACCTGGCATAGTGGCTTGCCCGTCACATCAGGTTCTAAAGTCGGTCTCAATATCTGGAGCTGGGCACTGCCTAGAGACTCGAACTATGGTAGGATGTAGGAACACGTCACGCGAGGACGTGTCTGTGTGAGAAACTCTTCACCAACAGAATAGGTAGATTTTTAACGCATAGTAAAGTAAAACTAAATTTGCCAAAAATTGAGCCGCTGCCCTGAACCCGCTACGTAATCTGTGTAGCTAAGTTAGCTAGGATACCCATGGCTACTTTTACGCTGATGATGTGTTTCAGAGGTTAAATCGTCGTAAATGTCGCGGATCCAACTGCCATCCCGGCTCAAAGGCATCAGCCCCGAGAAACTCTAGATATCACCAGTAAGCTTGGTAACAAACGTAGCATTGCGTGCACAGCAGGACCCCTATGCAATCTCACAAGCGTGGAGTTCTTACCACTCTACATATCGGCACATCCATGGCGTAGCTCCGTGCTACGACCCACCTGTTTACAGTATTTCCTCTACAACTCAATAGGGGACAATTCTAATCACCTATCAGTGGTTTTCCCTAAGAACCTCTAGCTCTCACTGTAGAGTCTGCAGAGCCGAGATTGAGGAACAAAGTCCTATCTTCGACGAGGAATCCCAATCGCTTTCGCGGTCTGTATCGTCCTCATCTCTCAACACACTCCCCTATCACCATAATCATGAAGCCAGCCACGATCAGATCAGGTGGTAGGGTCGGAGCCCTACTCATCACCAACCCTTGATCATGGAGGAAAAGCCATCCGATGAGTTTCCGGAGCGTACCCAGCAACCGACACGGCGATGGTGGATTGGATCAAGTCAGCCTCTAATGTTACAAAGAGGGGAGATCTAGATGTATATGCGCACCTCGTGTGGTCTCGATATATAGGCCTCCTTTTTAAATTAATATTGTATTTAGATATTTAGCTATGACAAAGGTATATAGGCCTCGCCTGGCTTGGACTGCAGATTTCTTGAGACCCTTTCTCGCGCACGCAGTTTCCATTGCTACCGTTATTACTGGGTAGAAAGTTCTGTGGAAAATTTGGCTGGATTCCTCGGGCAAACACTGAGCTGAATGGCTATCTATCACGGGCAATATATCAACGATCTTTGAAGTGACAAAATAGGATAGGAGCACTCTAAAAGGTGTGGCCTGGGTCAGAGAAGAGCGCACTGTGCTAGATAGACATAGGCTCAAGCATAACAACAAACCCAGTTAATGTGATTCAACTTTTTACCATATAATTCCCAACGCTAGTTCTTAATTTTTTGAAATCCTATAGTTTGTTTCCGGCTATCTATCTATGAATCTTGATCAGTGCCATGTATTCATTTTGGATGTCTATGTCGGCCAAAGATACACATAAATTCTATATTTTAAATTTAAATACCACTACTTGGTATTTTTTGGCACAATAAAAGTCAAAGAATTATCATGGGGTATTTTTGTTTTCGCTGAATAGTCGAACCCTCTCCATGGGTACCCGCCACAGGTTCATGTACAAAGTGTCCGTTACGAGTTAAGTGGATGAGGAATAGCCTCAGGCACTACAAATTAATCAACACTAGCATCAAAACACCTCCCGATCACTTCGCTGAATCAAAAGTCAACCTCTAACCTTGTCCATAGCTCTCAGCATGGATGAAGAACAATATACATGATCAAAACCATGAAAGAGAAGGAGTCGGGGCAAAGAACGCTGATGCTGGACCGCGAAATTGAAATTTCCTTTCTTTTTTTTTTCTATTTATAAGTTAAGTATTAAGCGGCTACAATCTATACAGTGGTTTCACACGGTTGGAATGAGTTGAGCCTGTACGCAGTGATCTCCGCCGGCTCCACCAGTCTTGTACCCATAGCGGACCCGGAGCATTCGTTTCCCTGGGTGGGTATCCAGGGATGAGGGTTGACTTGGGATGAAGAAAAAGCCGTCATTACTTCGCAGTAGTACTTGCAAATGAAATCCGAGGCATGAGTGCTCTTCTTTTAAATTGAGTCATCTATTAAACACTTCTCTGATAATGTACCATAGCTAGATAGCTGCATACGCAATTAAATTCTGATGCGAAAACAAGGATCCGGAGCATTAGCTCAGGACCTATTGAAAAAATAACCAAAAAAACCCTGACCACACTCATTGAGCTCTGCATTGTAGGTGTAATTTCCGCCATTCAAAAAGCAGACAACAAGCATCTAATTCTATACTGCAAAAAATTCACAAAAGAGCGTGAATAAGCATTTTCCGATATTCAACAAAGGATATTACCAATAATTTTATGAACTACGAGAGAAAAGGAAGCCTTACTACAATTTTTGAAAACTTCCAGGTGTATATGAACATACAAAGGAGATGTATTAGGCACACAAATAATGGGACTTGGAGAGCAATAGGAGTTTTAGTGTCCAGAATATTGGAAAAGATTTGTAAGTGTAAACGTTATTGGCTCAATCTTGTATCACAACTAAATCACTAAGGTTATCTGTCTAGGTTCAACCAGAAAGACTGCCCTTCTTATGTGTATGTACGCACGGATCACCTTGAATGCCTGCATAACTCCCAGTCCTTATATATTACATGACTGCATAACTAGAGCTGACTACACTTAAATATGCATCCACTCAAAGTAAGTAAATTTTTATTTGTTTTTGCTCTGTTTTTAGAAAATTTGTTATAGCTCAATAGCTGAATACAATATGATATAAAAAATATAAAAAAAGAGCTCTGCATTGAAACGCTAAGATAGCATTGTGATCGCCGTAGAGTTACGATCATGTTGTTCCGACTCTGAATCATCTGATATCACAGTAAAGATAGAGAAAAAGGTATTTTGAATCACATTGTATTCAACTATCCGGCTATGACAAAGAGCATTGAGAGGTTAACTCGCTCTTGCAGTTTGAGTTGATTCAGAACTAACTATTCCAAGATGAGTTTGACAAATGAAAAGACGATTCAGCCAATCCAAACACCCGATCGGTTTTATTTTAGCCCCAAGCTTACTGAGTTGTTGAGGAGAGAGAGAGGTGTGTTTATTATACTACTTTAATCTATGACTATCTAGCACAGTGCGCTCTTCTCTGACCCAGGCCACACCTTTTAGAGTGCTCCTATCCTATTTTGTCACTTCAAAGATCGTTGATATATTGCCCGTGATAGATAGCCATTCAGCTCAGTGTTTGCCCGAGGAATCCAGCCAAATTTTCCACAGAACTTTCTACCCAGTAATAACGGTAGCAATGGAAACTGCGTGCGCGAGAAAGGGTCTCAAGAAATCTGCAGTCCAAGCCAGGCGAGGCCTATATACCTTTGTCATAGCTAAATATCTAAATACAATATTAATTTAAAAAGGAGGCCTATATATCGAGACCACACGAGGTGCGCATATACATCTAGATCTCCCCTCTTTGTAACATTAGAGGCTGACTTGATCCAATCCACCATCGCCGTGTCGGTTGCTGGGTATGCTTCGGAAACTAATTACGTGGCATATCCATGATGATAGTGGTAGGGGGCTGTGCAGAAAGATGTAGACGATGCAGACCGCGAAATTGATCGGGAATCCTCAAAGAAGTGAGGACTTTGTTACCAAATTTGGGCTTTGCAGACTCTACAGTGAGAGCTGGAGGTTTGTAAGGGGCAACGTTGATAGATGTTGAGTTTTCGTCCCCCTGGAGATGTCTCGGCGAGCGACTGGACAAGGCCTCGAATGAAGAAAGTAAACCCTGTATGAGTTGAAATGCTGGGATGAGGCATAACTCGGACTGCACGAAAAGGAAAAGTACAAAAACGGGAAGATCCTCAAGTCTTGGGCGTGTGATAGCTGAGTTTATGGAGGAATGTGCATTTCTGCGCGCTCAAGTGGGGTTTCCTGGACGTTCGGACCTAATATGGTCGATACATGGGTACTGTACTTGGTGTCTCTGTCGTTTAGAAGGGGCGAGGTATTATTCCTTAATGGTAGTTAATTTGATCCAATCCTGTCTCACTCGTGCTCATGCACTAAAATGATTGCTGTGGGATTCAAATGTCCAGCACTTCAACTTACAATCAAGCAATACGTCGACTACATCTGTCGCCGACTGAAAGAATTAGTGATCTACGCTCATGTTTCAAAAAATTTTATGCGTTCCCGATGACGCATGAGTGATAAGAGCACTATTCTGTATCAATTACAAAAACGTTCATTGAGATTATCGCCAATCTCAGCTCTGTAGCACGCCGAAATTATGAATGATAAATTAGAGATTCTCTGAGACCTCAAATCCGCATCGCGATATAAAAAGTACTCAGGTCCTCAAGTAACAGTAGTCACTGCAATTTAGCATAAATAATAAACGGAGAGAGGTGGGCTGCAGCTGGGCCAGCGGGTAAAATACCAGAAATGATAGTCAAACCATTGCGAAGTATCCAAAGAAAATGCTTAAGGCTTATTGCAGGGGCATATAATTATACCAGTAACAGGGTACTAGAACACGAGTCTTCGGTTCTTCTGATAGATATTTTCCTGAAACAAAGGAGGGTACAACACGTCGGACTATCAGAGGGACTACCTGTCAGGAGAACGATTCTATTTGTATGCAATAAAATCAAGCAGACCACAAGGGAAACTGAGAACAGAAAAGCCAAGAATCGAAAGCTAGACATTAAAGAATGCACCAGAGTTTTTGGCATGGAGAATGCGAAAGGGAGACAAAAAGAAGCCGGTAAGGTGGCCGCGTTCCAGGAGTGAAAAATCTCATGGACACGTCCAGCGAACGAGATACTATCTGGTCATCGAGCTTCGGTAGACCCTGAACTTGGAAAGCCGCAAATATTATTACAGATAAGACAATAGGCAGAAAAAGGATTACCTATAGAAAAACACCCTCAAATATCCACCGGAACCTTAGCAGGGCCCAAAGCAGTATTGCAGTTCAGATAAGAAGTGGGCAAATTGGTCCCAATTCTTATCTGTATCGAAGGAAAGTCCCCGGAGTGATTAACTCAAATGTTAGTATGGATGTCCGTCTCAAAATGTCGTACATATGGTCTTGACGTGTCTTCAGTGGGCAATAGGAAGAGGAGATATGCTTCG